TCATTGTTGTTTGGCAGGTCCGGGCTGGGGATTCGAACCCGCCACCCTAGGTGTACGTGGCTGGCGCCTTAGCCGGTTGAGCCACAGGCGCCGAGCCGACAATTACATTCTGACAGTGTTTAGCCTGTGGAAGTGTGTGGTTATTTTTTATGTGAAGTATTTTTCCACATTTCCTTTTAAGAGCTTGTTGTCACTTGGTAGACGTGAATCTGTCTGTTGTCTTATAGTCTCTCTGCTGCTGTAACTATATGTTACCTTTGGTTTCAGCACCTCCAGTCACTATTATAGACTATAGCACCATTCCTTTCAGCACCCTTATTCATGGGAGCCAGCAACTTTTCTCTGGAAAGGCCCTGCAAATAAGAAGGATTAACACTGGTGTCACTCATTTTGTTTTGAGGACAAAGCTGGGCTTTGCAAGTTTACTTCCATTTTCACCAGGCTCTATTAGGATAGGGTGAACTGTGTGTTGGGTAAATATGACAAACTTCTTTCTGTTCTATTTGTCTCTTTTTGTTAGTATTAATATTTACTAGGTTTTTCTTTTTTATATTTTATATTATATATTTACACACACACAAATTTATTTATCTGCCTATTTATCTATTTATTTATTTGGAACTGAGTTTCTGTCACCCTGGGTACCGTGCTATGTTGTCATAGCTCGTAGCATCCTCAATATTCTGGGCTCAAGAGATCTTCTTGCCTCAGTATCATGAATTGCTAGGACTCCAGGTATGCCTGACTGTTGTTTGTGGTAGCAATGGAGTCCACCATTCCACAGCTTGATCTCAAACACCTGTGCTTTGTGATCCATTCACCTGAGTCTCCCAGAGTTCTAGGATTACAAACATGAGCCAGTCCACCCAGGCTCTGTGTTGTCTCTATGACTTCTCACTTGCTGTGCTACAAATTCCCACCCGGTTCTTAGAATTCCCCCCAAACGCAGTGTATAAATGCAGTATTTATTTACCTTTAAGATAATTAGTACCTATGTACTTTATTGTGCCATCTTCCTAATGTTCTTGGCATGATTTTTGTAGATAAAATGTGTAATGTAGGGTGGCACCAGTGGCTGAGGGGTGGGACGCCAGCCTCATATACCCAGCGTGGTGGGTTCAAATCTGGCCCTGGCCAAACTACAACAAAAAATAGCCAGGTGGTGGGGCAGGCACCTTTCGTCCCAGCTACATGGGAGACTGAGGCAAGAGAATTGCATAAGCCCAGGAGTTGGAAGTTGCTTTGAGCTGTGATGCCACACACTCTACCAAGGGCAACAAACTCATACTGTCTCTTAAAAAAAAAAAAAAAAAAGTGTAATGTATATTTACTCAATTCTGAAAAGAAAAATTAGTGGCTAAAATTGCTCTTGTTTAAATTTCTTTCAGCTATATCTAACCATCCTGACCAAGACGATTTGCAAAATATTGACACAAATATTTTACTCACAGAGATAATCCTGAGAAGATATCGAAGCTATGCCTCTGACAACTTAAACTTACCAAAAGACTGGGCAAGTGTGTCTGAGTGTAAGCAGCAGAAAGTATGTGACAGTGCATTTGACCACTGTTTAAGGGCTACCCATACCAAAATCTTCCAATGTAGTAAATATTTGAAACTCTTCACACAATTGTCAAATCTAAGTAGACATAAGATGATATGTAACATAGGGAAAACTTTTCCCTGTATAAAGTATGGGAAAGCCTCTAACCCATCCTCAGATGTTACTAAACATACGATAATTGATATTGAAGAAAAAGGGTACAAATATAGCAACGTCTTTGAATCTGACTCAAGCCTGTCTAAGCAAGAGAGATGTCATAATGGAGAGAAACTCTACAAGTGTGAAAAAGATGCAAAATGTCTTAACCTCACATCAAAATATTGTAACTATAAGAATATTGATAGTGGAAGAAAACCCTACAACTATGAAGACTGTGACAAACTTACCAAGCAGTACTCACAGCTTTCTAGACATAAAAGAATTCAATCTGGAGAGGAACCCTACAAATGTCAAGAATGTGGCAAAGCCTTCCACTGCTCCTCACACCTTTATCAACACCAAAGAATTCATTCTGGAGAGAAACCCTACAGATGTCAACAATGTGGCAAAGCCTTTAACCAGTACTCAAACCTTTCTAGACATCAAAGAACTCATTCTGGAGAGAAACCCTACAAATGTCAAGAATGTGGTAAAGCCTTTAACCGGTACTCAAGCCTTTCTGAACATCAAACAGTTCATTCAGGAGAGAAACCCTACAAATGTCAACAGTGTGGCAAAGCCTTTAATTATAATTCATCCCTTTCTATACATAAAAGAATTCATTCTGAAGAGAAGCCCTACAAATGTCAACAATGTGGCAAAGCCTTTCGCCAAGCCTCACACCTTTCTGAACATGAAAGAATTCATTCTGGAGAGAAACCCTACCAATGTCAACAATGTGGCAAAGCCTTTAAACGATACTCAAACATTTTTGAACATAAAAGAATTCATTCTGGAGAGAAACCCTACAAATGTCAACAATGTGGTAGAGCCTTTACTATTAGTTCATCCCTAACTAAGCATCAAAGAATTCATTCTGGAGAGAAGCCCTACAAATGTCAACAATGTGGCAAAGCCTTTACTCTTAGTTCATCCCTAACTAAACATCAAAGAATTCATTCTGGAGAGAAACCCTACAATTGTCAACAATGTGACAAAGCCTTCCACTGCTCCTCATACCTTTCTTGACACCAAAGAGTTCATTCTGGAGAGAAACCCTATAAATGTCAACAATGTGACAAAGCCTTTAATTGTTACTCAAGCCTTTCTGAACATCAAAGAATTCATTCTGGAGAGAAATCCTACAAATGTCAACAATATGACAAAGCCTTCCACTGCTCCTCATACCTTTCTCAACACCAAAGAATTCATTCTGGAGAAAAACTCTACAGATGTCAACAATGTGGCAAAGCCTTTAACTGGTACTCAAACCTTTCTAGACATCAAAAAATTTATTCTGGAGAGAAACCTAGATATGTTAAGAATGTGTCAATGCCTTTCACCAGTACTCGTTCCTTTTTTGAACATCAAAGATTTCCTTCTGGAGAGAAACCTTACAAATGTCAACAATGTGGCAAATCCTTTCTCTAGTACTCAAACCTTTTTGTACATCAAGTAATTCATTCTTGAGACAAACCCTACAGATGCTAGGAATGTGGCAAAGCCTTTAACCCACATCCAGGCCTTTCTGTACATCAAAGAATTCATTCTGGAAAGAAACCCTACAAATGTTAACAATGTGGCAAAGCCTTTAATCTGCATATGAAACATATTGTAAATAAAAGAATTCACTCTGGAAAGAAACCTAAATATGAACAGTGTGGCAAACCCTTTATCTCACTTTCAAATATCCCTGTATATAACATCAAACACACAGGACAGAAATCCTCAAAATATGAAGAATTTTTTAGTACCTTTACCTGGTGTTGATAACTTTCTAAGCAAAAAAGAATTCACACTAGTGAGACATCCCAAATGTGAACAGTGTAGCAATTCCTGTAACTGAACACAAACCTTTCCTACACATAACAATATTCACAGTGGAGAGAAATCCTACAGATGTG